TTGTCAATTTCACATGCGTTGACTTTTTTTTGATTGTATCACTTTGGTATATATGGTTGTGCCGATTTTCTTCCACATATTGATCTGAGGAAGTGGGTCTGGCTCACAAAAGCTCATCACCTAATAAACCATCTTGTTAGTCTTTAAAGTGCTACATAGTCCTGTCTTTTGTTTCTTGTAAATGTGGACTCTGAACACCCCTCCCCCTCCCCAGAATTTAATTCCACAATCGCGTATTATATTTTGGTTTAATACAATACAAACCATATTAATAGAGCTGGAATAACATGTCTAGTTCTGGTGCCTATACAGGCTGTCCTCGCTATAAGTCCAAGATACATTCAAAAAAAAATTGGACTTATAGCAAAACAATTTAAAGCGGGGAATTTTTTTCTCATGGCTGACTTTCATTTAAGCAAATTGGGGGGAGTGTTTCACACGAATTATAGTGGGAATGGGAGGACTTATAACGCATCAGTTCCTACAAACGTCAATGACTTTAACGTGGAACGGGGCGACTTATAGTGGAAATGCCCTGTAATTCAAAGAGGACTTTGATAAACTGGAGAGGGGTCAGAGAAGAGACACAAAAATGATACAAGGATTAGAAAACCCCCTTTATAGTGAGAAACTTAAGGACTTTGATCTATTTTGCTTAATAGAGAGTGAAGAGGTGACTTGATCCCAAAGTAACTAGAAGGGGAACAAATATTTGGTAATGGGCTCTTCAGTCTAAGTGAGAATGGTTCATTCCACTTCAGTAGCTGGAAGGGGCAGCTGGAGAAATGCAGACAGGAAATACGGTGTATATTTTTAACAATGAGGGTGATTAGCCATTGGAACCATTTGCCAAGAGCCATGGTGGATTTGCCATCTCTTGGAATTGTTAAATTAAGATGGACCCTTTCTGCCAAAACATTTGCTCTAGGGATTTTTTTGAGGGAAATTCTCTGGCCTGCATTATCTGGCAGGCCAGGCTAGCCCATCACAACAATTCCTTCTGACCTTGGAATCTATAAATCTATGCCTTGCACAGGAGAGTGAAGGTTGCCCATGTGGACAGAATGCAGGAGATGCAGCCCAACATGTATGACCAATGCAGTTTGTCACATGGCCTTGATGTGCAAATCAGCCAGTTAGCCCTCCTATCCCTGCTACTAGTCTAGTGGTCTGTTCCCTTCATCACTGTTTAGATTGTGTAGCCTGATCTGTAGAGTGTGTATTAATTACACCAAATCCCCAGTTATCATTTGGAGGGTGTTGGGTTCTTATCCAGTATATTTAAATTACTTTATGGTTGGGAACCCAGCTGCAACACTCACACTATTGGAACTCCTTTGTATTTACCAATAGTTTATTAATTCATTTAGCACAGTGTCGGGTTTCGGGCTCCCCCTCAGGCTTACAGCTCCATCATCATCGGGGTTGCCTGTCCCAAAGTCACCACCCTACACCCGTGTCCTTTAAGTTCGTAATCGCGGGCTGTTCTGGCCCCCGAGTGTCTTCAGAGTTGCCCGAGGGTACGATTGGAACTCCTTTGTATTTACCAATAGTTTATTAATTCATTTAGCACAGTGTCGGGTTTCGGGCTCCCCCTCAGGCTTACAGCTCCATCATCATCGGGGTTGCCTGTCCCAAAGTCACCACCCTACACCCGTGTCCTTTAAGTTCGTAATCGCGGGCTGTTCTGGCCCCCGAGTGTCTTCAGAGTTGCCCGAGGGTACGACTCTGAGCCCGTCCCTCGTGACGGGACCCCTAATTCATCTCTCCCCTTCTACCCTTCGGGGGGGGGGGGGGGGCGGAACAGGGGGAACAAGCGAG